TCCGAACGAATGCTCAACATAGCCACTTGACACACTGTGTCTTTTGCGTCCATGATGCCATCATGTCGGGTGATGGCAAAACCTGAATGCCCAGCTTGTGCGTGGCGCACTTCGCGCCCATAGCCGGCAGGCGCACCCATGGCGGGTGCTGGGGCCTTCAACGTTCCTGCCCTGTGCAGGAGATTTGGGCCCTATTTTCATTCATACATTCATACATACATACATACATACATATATGCTGTATATGTATGTATGTACATATATATATATATTGTAGTATACGATGTAACATGACAGTAATACATAATGTGTAATAATGTACATAACCTAGCACAGCGTAATGTTGCACTAGATTGCGAGAGCTGCAGAGATGCTTCCAAGCTGCGTCATCTCCGCGATCTCTTCCGCGATCCCGGAGATCCCTGTCTCTATCGCGATCCCTGCAAAAGGGTAGGGCCCCTTTTCGGGTTCCTTCAAGGGAACTAAAGGGTTTCTATAAGGGTGTCTATATGTATAAGGGTAGTTCTCTAAATTAGGGTCCCTTTTAGGGTCCTTTTGATAAGGGTGTCGCACTATCTTGGGGGCCTAGAAAAGGGAGCCTAATGTAGAGAACTACCCAAAACGAGGTGGTCGGATCAAAGGAAAGAGACCCCTCTCTCACAATGGAGCTTCCTTGGGTTCACTTCGCTTACTTGCTTAAGGCTTCAGGGTTTTGGGCATTGGGCTCCAAGGGCTTAGCATGAAGCACGTTCGTCTTCGATGAGGCTTCGTCTGGCTGGGACTGCTCTGCGCTGCTCATGTTTGGAGAAGATCCGTCTGTTGAAGGCCAGCCTGTCCCGAGGCCCCGCGTCGCTGGTGTAATTCATCAGCTGGGGCGCATCGAAGTCGTCCTCCGGTTGTGAAAAACAAATCGAGCCAGGCCAAAGCAACACGAAAACGGATGCTACGACCCTGCAGATGCCAGGCCAAGGTGCGGCCATTAGAAGAACCTTTGAGGGTTCGGGGGTTTAGGGCTGCGGGTCTTTTGGGCATTTCGAAGAGCTGTTGCTTATCTGTTTTTTTCATATCTGCCTGAAGGGAAACTCTGCTTCATCGAGCGGAGTTCTTCCCTCTCGAAGGCGCTCGTGGCGCTGCGCCCGCCCGCAGCCGGGCTGGGAAAACACAGCTTCCCATCTCCGACATGTGCAAAGCTGGGCGAGTTCGTTCCACCTTCGCCTTCTAGGTCGCCTTCGCATGTTTTGTTTGTGCTTCTGTGCATTGATTGAGCAGGCAGGTGCTGAAGGATCCACCTCTGCTTCCAGGAGGGAGGAGCAGTTTCATCTACTGTATTTTAGTTTCATGTGCTGCATATGGTTTATATTATACAGTCCGCTCATATACTAAACTTTCGCAGACTATCAATCGGCGGGAACGAATTAAGCCCAGTTACCAGATCTCAGTTCAAGCCCTGACCCACCCCGCGGTGCCGGGACAGTTTGAATGCTGGCCTGATCGCCTTCGATGAACTCAGCATCAAAGCGCGTGCCGACGCTGTCCAATGCTGGCAGGCACCACGTGAGCGCTCACTGTAGCTTCTACACAGCCTGCTGGGCCCGTCCGCCTGATTCAGGTTGCTTCACACCGATGCCGGCGTACTGAACGGCGGAGTGGGAAGCGAAGCCTGCAACAGTGTCTGCCCTGGTGCTACGAAGCACTGCTGTAACATCCACCGCTGGCACGCGTGCCGTAATTTGCAAAGACACCCTTCATGCGGTCGTTCTGAGACCTTAACAGCCACGCAACTTGAGCGGCATGCGTGAGATGGGGACTCCCAAGCCAGAAATCTAAGCCAAGTAGAAATACCGGCAGACACCCCTGATTGTCACAAGTATCTTCAGTTGCCTAAGTCAGACACACTTCTTGGAATTCGACAAGCAAATCTTGGACTGCCAGCCGAGCATCATGAAACTGTGGTCAACAATTACTTGAATAGAAACGTAGAAACAATGTCCAGAACAGGGCAGCAACATCAAGCCACCTGTATAGACTGTCCAAGCTCGCACGCTTGCTCATCTGCTGGTTCTGTGCCGTTCTGCAATTTCTTGACTGCTTGTTTACAGCCTTGACGCATCTTTGCCAGGTTTGCACCCAACCTTCCCACACCTATATTCACAAGTACATCACAGGTTGCGCGGAGCAGGGTGGGCTGAGCAACAACACATTCAGAGTTTAAGGGAAAAGGGTGGTGAGCCGGTAGTATAACAAGGGTTTGGCCCCAAGGCAGGTTCCACTCCAAAGACTGACTGCGCGCCAGGCAAATAGTTCACGGCGAACAGCACTACCTCGCACATCGGTAATGTGTCTGCTTGCTTGGCCAGTATCAAACAAAGCACGAGCGGCACAGACGCCCACCACGGTGATGTATCAAGAACACAAGGACCCATCGAAAAGCTTAGTTGGTGCATCATGTCCTTGCTGTGGGTCCGGCTGCCAGCATTCCTAGGGCTCCGAGAACAGACCAGGCACCTCCACACCAAATTCATCTAGACCGGGTTCTAATGCATCCGCACATGCACTGTCCGCAACGTGCAGAACCTTGTCTTGCTAGCATCTTTGATGGTCTGTCGTTCCATGCTGTCAGATGCATCCCGACAACTCATGTTTCTACGCTCGCGCAAGCTCCTCATACATCACCGTTGCGAGATGTCCGAACTTCCGGCGCTGCCGGCGCTGCCTTTGCTCATCGGTTTCGGAGGACAGGGCACGCTCACCTGCAGAGGCGAAAAAGTTCATATTTTCTGTTGTAAATCGTTGCCATATGTCATTTGCTCGGCAACATGCCAATCACAAGTCGCTTGAAGATCAGAGGACATTCCAAGAAGATCTCAAAACCTGTCTGACTGGTGGCTGCAACTGCCTGTTGTGGCTGCCAGCCGCCCTCGCAAGTGTCTCCGACGACTTTGCGGTAGCCAGTCTGCCAGGCACGGATGGCTTTCACGATTCTTGCGAAGCAGCTGGTCATGTCTTCGGAGAGGGCGCATGCGCCCCTCTCTCTGTGTGTTTGTGGTTGTGTGTGTCTTCGTGTGTCTGTGGTCTGTGGGGCCGGGGACTTCGGAAATACAGCAGACAAAGGAACTCGTGTCGCCGCTTCAAGATCAATCCAATCCGCTTGGTTTTGTCCTATTCCGGGCGTGTGCTTCGGGATGTTGGAAGGGTGAGCTGTCTTGCGAGGGCTAGCAGAAACTTCAAGCAAGCCAGGGCGCAACGTGTCTCGACAGATCCCCATGCGCACGGGAGAGCAACGGCGGGTGGCATGTCCAGACCAGAAACTACATTGCAGCCATGTCTACTTCGGACATGCAGCGACATGCTGAGTCATTGACGGCAAAGAAGTGGTCGTTCCTCGCGCAGCTGTAGGGGATCTGGCCAGCAGCAGAAGAGAGCGTCTCTCACGCAGGAGACCGCAAAATTTAAAATGAAGCTGCTGAGGGATATGATCTCATGCAACACTGCACGACTTGGGGCGATGATGCTGCAACTACTGCATCCGAAGCCTCTGTCCGGAGCCTAGGCCTATGCACTGCTCCTCAGAATACGGACCGTCCACGACTGCTCCCATATAAATTGGGAATGGCCCACCACATGGGGTCAGCTGCGTTGGAGGCTGCAGTTGCTATGAAATTGCGCTGGGTGCAGCTGTCTTGCTCTTGGGCCAGGGTGGTTTTTTTCAGCATTTCCTGCAACTTTGAAGTCTTCCAAGCAGCTCACCAGAGCAGTGGATCTTTCGGCTCTTGCTCCCGATTGCTCCCGTCAACGGGGGCAACAAAAACTTCAAAACCAGTCCCAGCAAGCCCCCATCCACTGCTCTCCCTACTGCGCGTTGGAAACATCCAGAAACCAACCGTCCGAACGCAAGCCACTCGCAAGCTGAGGAGTTCGACTCGACGAGGACGATCACGTCGGAGAGTTGCAGATACATCTTCAGAAATCCTACGTACGTGTGCCTCACACGCCAGGCAGATCCACAGAAGAACAGCCAAACTTGTCATGACCGGCCTTGATGGAGCCATCGTCGGCATACTTGCAATCCATCCACCCGACCTTAGACGCACACACACACACACAAACAAACAAACACCGTAGCGCTCTTCACGGATCTGCATTCACCAGTGGCACTCAGCGGGCTTGGACTCTGACCGCACGGGTGAAGCCCACTTCGCACTCGAAGTTCTCTTGGGTGCATTCGCAATTCTGGCGAGAGTCTCACTTAGCACAGTCTGTTGGATCCGGCGGTCTTCTGAAAATGCTTGCAAACGACAGGTTGCGACTCTTCTGCCGATTTGCCAGGCCGGGCCTTCTTGCTTATCGGGCGCTCGAACTTCTCGCCATTGAAGCATTCCGAAGTCTGCTTGCGTCGAGTATATGTCGCCTGCATACGGAGGCGGGGCCACGAGGCAGGCCCTAAGGAGAAAGAAACTGAGCATGTTGCTTGATTCCAAACACACACACACACACACAATCTCTCGTTAACGCCCCAAGCCCTAAACCGAAAAGAACCCTTTTGTGGCAACCGTATGGTAACTACCCTTAAGCCTCATTACGGTACCCTTTACAGGAACCCATGTCTTTGGCACTTTGGCCTCCTGGCTGTCCGTTGCTGGTGAGGTGACGTTCAGCTTTTTGCATTCTCTGCCGGGCAAGTATAGGATACCTACACGGGTACTGAGCTAAGGCAGCTAAGGGTACTAGTAACAGGGTTTGGGTACAGACAACGATCGACGACTTCACCGGCAAAGCATAAGGAAGCACAGATCTCTTTGCTGAGCTGCTAATTACATGGTACCGGGTTTCCAGCAGCCTCACTCGGCCGGTTCAACGTATGTTGAAAATGCGAGCCTAGCACTCAGTTTCGAGGAAGCTCATTGTCAGATCAAATGCCTGTCGCTTGACAGGTTACAAGTCCAAGCAACAAGCCGCCCGGATGTCAAGACTGACTCCAAAGCCAGAAGGGTCTGGTCACAATGGTCATGGACTCCGTCTTCACCCGCAGTCCACCTCGTCCGCAACGCTCAAAGGCAAATAGCGAGAGCTTGCGGCTTGTCCGTTGATCGTCTCGACTTCAAGTCTGCATGCAGTGCAAGAGGTGAGCGACCAGTGTCTACGCGAAGGCTTGCGATTCCACCCCTACCGCAACGTATCAGAGTCGGGGGACATGTCTGCACCACAAATGTGTCCTCGCATCTATTCCTGTTTTGGCCTGCACCCATCCAAACAGGAAGCAAGCTTGATCATCAAGGAATGCGCCACGGTTGCGATAGTCCTGATTGGCGACATGATGCTCATACGGAACATGGAGCATCGTTGGAAAGGCACGTTACCGACAGATGGCTGAAGCAGCACACACATCACTTTCAGATGCCCGCACTTCGAAGCAATCCAGAAAGAGGTCTCCCCTTGCTGATTCGTGGCACATAAGTCAGCACCAGCCCACACCAGAAGTTGCACCACCTCATTGTGGCCATATGCTGAAGCAATCCATAAAGGAGAGGTCCCAAAGCAGTTCGCTTTCTCCATGTCTGCACCAGCTTCCAGCAACAAGCTGGCGATCTCCAAGTGTCCATGCCGTGCAGCCGCCCACAATGGCGTCATGCCGCCCTTGTCGGCCGTGTCAATCTCGGCTCCAGCCCAAACTAGCAGCTGTGCTGCCTCAGCATGGCCCTGCTCACAGGCCATGCAGAGGGGCGTCGCACCTGTTTCATGGTTGGACGTGGTCGTATCAGCTCCAGCACGCAGCAAGAAACGCAGAAGCTCCACATGTCCGTAACTGGCTGCCACCCAAAGCGGGGTGGTGCCAGTGATCGCTGGCTTGTCCATATCAGCTCCGGCCTGGAGAAGCAGCCGACAAGTCTCCAGGTGCCCGCCTCTGGACGCAGCCCAAAGCGGCGATGCACCAAAGAGGTCCGTCGGTTTGTTTGCGTCCGCCCCAGCTTCGAGCAGCAAGCTGACGCAGCACCAGCTTCCGTGGAGGGCAGCCACGCCAAGGACACTTCGTCCTTCCCTCCCCTTCTCACCGTCGACGCAATCGGGATCCAGCGGAAGCTGAAGAAGACACTCCATCTCTTCAGCCTGGTCCAAAGCTGCTGCAAATTGAAGCGCCTTGACGTGCCTTGTTGTGGCTTTTTGAAAAGGAAGAACGACCAGCAGCACTTCCTCAGAGGCGAGTGTCCCCAACGAGGCATCGTCACTAACCGGCAGGTTTCCAGCCAGAAGTCTTTGTCTATAGATGGGTATGCCAAGCAAACCTTGTAAGTATTGCTTGACAGTCTTCGCAGAATTTCCTTTCGCCGCTGCAAGCTCCGTGATTGCGTGAGTGCTTAAAGTGGCTATCTCCTCTCCGGACAACCTATGAATTCTCATGATGACTTCGGTGGGTCAACTTCTGCGATCCACACCCTGCAGGTTCAACCGGCCATGCAGCTTGCAAGTAAAGGCGCAGTTTCAGGTCTGAATGCTGCACAGTGTGCATTACCGGTTTCCCACTAGCTTACAAGATGCTGGACAGAACTGTTAGGCTACGAGGCGAAATAAGACCATCATGTCATGCTTCCTCATTCTCTTGAACCGATCTCCGGAAGCACCCCGAACACGCTCGGGTGAGTATGAGAACTTCCGGCACGATCTCAGCGAAGCTCCAAAAGTTCCGTCTCAGCCACTTTGATCGGTCTACTATGCCTGCTTGCCCATGAGGCATTTCTCAGTGCTCTTGCCGTCTGATGGACTCCAAGTTTCCTCAGGTCAAGCTGAGGCAGCGCAAAAAATATATACAGAAAACAAATCAGTCAAGAAGCGTAGTCGGAAGAGACGGAGTCCGCGGCCCAAACACCCTGCAAGTTGCGGGTCTTACACGGAGGTTCGCAGAAGCATTGCATCCAAATGCCAAACGTAGGGAAATTGCTTTTGGGGGAGCAAGGATACTTCGACTTGAAGCACTGCCGGAAATCAATTCTCCGAGGCACTTCAGCGACACACTGTTGGGGGCGAAAGCTTGTCTAGATGCCGGATGTGGCAGGTCGCTTACTCCTCATGCTTTGCCAAGCAATGTCGCACCCCGCCACACCTTCGTCTTGTACTTTCGTGGCTGCATCGGAGGGTGCCGTTTGCTGGAACAGCGTGAAGAGACCGGAAAGGGACAGTTAAACGTCGCCGAGAAGGACAGGCAACTTCAGTCCGACAAGAGTGCGCTGAAACCCAGTGCCACTGAAGAAACATCATCGGAGATGACGTGCCGGCATCTTTCTCAAGTGTTCGTGAACAATAAGCAGCTTTCACACGTGGAGAGAGACTGAACAAGAGGCAAATCCACTGCGCCAAGGCCCCGCTACCCGGGTTCATCCCAGACGGCTCGTCCTTGCAGAGAGGCTGTCCCAAGGTCTCGAAGTTCAGGTGGTACATCACTCCCTGGCTTATGAGCTTCGCTAGAAGCCGCTAGAAGGTTAGGGGATGCGGGCGGCACGCGCAACAGCCAGTCATCAAGACTGGAATCAGAACATGCCCCGCGGCCGTATCTCCACGTGTGCCGTAGAGGAGGAACTTCGTCGAAGTCGCGTTCGGCTCTGTCACGATGTTGTCCACCTGCTCCGGCTCAGTGAAGTTGCAGGGTCGCAGGGCGTTTGGATCTCGAGATTTGGATTTTGGATTTAGAACGAGGCAGACCAGTGCAGTTCATGACATTTCTGGACCCTTCTCCCTTTGAAAAGCTGTGCAGCTGGCTAGAAGCCTGGCCTCGATGGGCATGGATGAGAGCTCAAAATCATACCAGCTCTGCCCTTCGTTCCACGAAAACACCACCTCAGAACTGGAAGCACATTTGCCTGGACCACGTGACAAGCAGCAATTTTTCAGTCTCAGTCTCCCATGTCAGTGGACGTTGGCGGCAGGCGACCGGCGGGGCGGGGTGCTACCACTACGCTGCGCTGGGAGGCCAGCCAGCTTGGTCTTCCGCACATCGTCGGCCATGACAACAAGGCCGCCATGGTCTCCATACTCGTAAATGAAAGCACCTCCCAAATCACCAACTAAAAGACCAGAGCTCACTAGAAGCCTTGCATGTCGCTGCCGCTGCGCATTAAACACCAATGCCATGCGCAAGCGGCGCCACTGCGCAGCTCGTACCCTTGATTGGATGTGATTGTGTCGTGAAAGCCATGCAATGACGTCTTCTCCCGTCCTTTGTGTGCTTCCAGCCATGTGAGGCCGCCGTCACGGGAGAGGTAGGTGTTGGTCTGCCACCAACGAGCACATGCTTCGTCTGCACAACAAACGCAGAACAGCCCGTAGTTTCTATGTCGCAGCCGGCTTTGCCTGGTCTGGCTCGAAGCGCAAGTATGGACCAACGTTACCGGTGCCTTAAGAGTCTCAGAGCTTGGCTCTACGGCTAGGGACCCAAGCTTGCGAAGTCAGGCTCCACTTTAATGGTTACCATTGTCCAGCTTTTTCCGTCTGAGCTGATGCACCCATGATGATGCCGATGGCATTTTCAGTCGAGTAGAAAGGCCTCTCAAGCACAAACTTAGGGAACCAGAGGCCAGTCTCTGAGACTGCCGAGTGCGCCACGCGTAGTTGTGGAAGTTGGTGATGCCGTGCCTGGCCAGGCAAAGGCTGCAGCACATACAGTCGCAGCGCTTCGATCGTGCTGCAGCTAGAAGTGGATCATTTTGAGATGGTCTGGATTCTTTTTCGGGCCAAAAGGGGCTCCCTCGTTGCCGACTTTCGAACCTTTTGACCAGCACACCTCTTTGATTTGGATTCGACATCAGACAACTCTGCACCCGCCCCACACGCGGACCGCTCCACACCCAACAAGGCACTTCACCCTAACAGGCCAGGGCGACAGGTGTAGCCAGCATTTGTCTGGAGGGCAATCGATCTGCTTTCCAGTGGAGTCCACGCGGGGAGGCTTCAGGTAGGACCTCCACACTCATCTTTACAGAATCTGACGGTCTGCTGATCAAGACAGACAAGGTCACACCTCTGCGGACGGCATCATCATGATTCACAAGCAAGCACTGCAGGAGCAGTCTGAGACCCCATCCATACTCCGCCCTTGTCGAAAGAGATCACAGTGCGAACCTAAGAAAGGCGACAGTCTAAATTAACCAGGAGCGGTCTGCCAACTGTTTGATGAGCACGGCAGAACTGCCCCTAGAGCTGAGTCCTTCTGGAGCCGCGGCCACACTTTCCTCTTTGGCCTTGCTTTTGGGAGCCCTCCTCTTGTCCACCTGACAACCGCGCCACGCATGCCCGCAAAGTTGCAATGTGCTTCAACTCGGGGTTATCATCAAGGTTGACATGTGACTGGGGCAGGTTTTTCATGCTAGGGCTTAAATTAAACTCTAGAATATCCATAAGGCTTTGCATTTTGCTGCTGGCATGTAAAGTCTATGTCATTTTGCTGTGATCTAAATTATGACGATGGTTAAGCTGGTTCTGATTGTTGTTGTGATGCAGATGATGAGGATTATCAGTAGTCTCATCCGAAACCCTACACCGCCGGATTACATCGTGATCCAATCCAGGCCTCTGTGCCAGCTGCTGCTTCGCCTTCCAGTGCTTCGCTCTCGGCTGCTGCTTCCTGGCAGAGGCGTGACGACTCAGGGAAATGGCAAAACACAACTCAGCCAGCCTAAAGGATGAAGACACAGCAACAGCAAAATTCACAAACACATCAGTGTAATTTGTGTGTATATATATATATATGTGCACGTATGAGTGTATGCACACCATTGCACACCCATACATCCGTCCGTGCATCCATCCATGCGTTCATCCATCCATCCATCCATCCATCCATCCATCTAGCCGTCCATACATATACTCATACATACATTCATACAGACATGCATTCATACATTCATACGTGTGTGTATTTATATTTATATATATATATATATGTGTGTATGTATGTATGTACGTACATACGAGTAAACGCATTACACACACCCACACGTGCTTATGAGTAACGTCAGAGCATATCAGAGCTGCCACGACCCACCTTGGCCACTTCTGCCCCACTGGATGCAGAGTCGCCAGAACGTGGGATGTCCTCAAGGTAGAAAGCTTGGTTTGGGGTTTAGGGGTTTGGGGCTTTGAGGTTTTGGGTCTAGGGTTTTGGAGCGTACTAGCACAAGGTTTAAGTCGCCCCAGCTGGCGTAAAGTCGCCCCGAGCCCTGCGGTACACGACATGAGAGTGAAGTCACCGCAGGCGGGGTGATGTCAGCCCAACAACAGCCAAACTTTAGTCATTCCGTAAGGGCACACGCATTTTGGAGTGTACACGGCTTGCACTTAAAAAGCTGCGTGCCCTGCGCACGGTGGGTTGAGAAGCCTCATCAGTGCAAGACTACACATGGTTAGATGATAACACCCCAGTGTAGATGCTGGTTGTACTCTTCAATTCGCTCCAGCTCAATTGTCAGGATGCATCGCGGACGCTGAGGTTGCAAGAGCTCTTCTTCGGCAGAGAGTCCGAATGTGTGCGCATGTGTGTGCGGAGGTGGAGGTAGGTGTGCGTCTCCAGCCAAACAAGGTGACCGAGACATGTTTCGGATAGCAAGAGCTTATGAACAGGAGGACCACCTCTGCACCTCGCAAACGACTCCGTTTGTGCACTTCGCACATATGGCGTGTGGACTTCTCTTCGGTTGTTGGGCTTGCATACATTCGGCTCCATGGACCAAGCAGCAAACATCAAGTCGACACTCCAATCCACAAACAACCGTTCGAGACACACACATAAGTGATTACCCATAACATCACAGCACCTAAACCCCGCCAGCCCCCATGTAGACGCTCGATTCCACAAGCACCCGCTCGAGACACACATCAGTGGCAACACAACACATCAAAACCAGCCATTCCCCATGTAGACGCTCGATTTTGCAAGCACGTAAGCAACAAACACACCAGTGGCATCGCGACAAGCAGCAAATCAAGACCCGCCATTCCCGATGCAGACGCTCGATTTCGCTAGCACTCGCTCATGAAACACATCAGCGGCAGCAAGTCAAAACCAGCCAGTTCCCATGTAGACGGTCGATTTTACAAGCTCGAGAAACCACTGACAGCCATTCCCCTTGTAGACGCTCGATTACGCAAGCACCAACTCGAGACACAAGTGGCATCACAACATATCCAAGCTCAAGGAAAGACCGCGCACAGTACTGGATCGCGCAGAAACAACAGACTGGATGGTAGACAACATATGATAGAGGCATTGAGAACTAGCCCAAACCCTGCGGCACATGGGGTTGAGACGACTTCGCCCCGGCAGGGACGACTTAAATCTACCGCTAGGTGTGCATGCGCTGGATGTCTCTGATCTTGCTTCTTTAACCAGGCTTCAATCAGAATCGAATTCCCATCCTGCTTTTTCTGTGCACCGCGAATGCAGAAATTACAGGGTGCGGTGAGCTTCCTTGAAGTTGGCCATGTACACGCCCTCCAAGCTCAACACCTTCAGTTTTCGGATCTTCACGGTCATGGCAGTTCGTGCACGCTGGCTGAAGTCACTTCATTCCTGTCATTTGCAGCACCTCTCACGCTTCAATTATGGTCGGCGCCATGGCGTGCCAGCACCACTACGACGACCACGACGGCCACCACTCTCATAACCAGCGAGACTACTCATGCTGGCACCAGCAACCACGGCTAGCACGAGCCGGCAAGGGCAACGGGAAGAACAGCGGCAGATGGAGGCCGAGGAAAGCCACCCCAACGGCCCAATCTTAAAAATACACTAGTGGGGTTCCGGCCTTGTCGAACTCACAGTCACCGTTTGTGCCACGAACGTTGTTTGGAAGGGACAGCGTGAAGCGGAAGCCTCGGCCCATGTCTGGAAAGCGCGAGTGCCCGGTGGGACCCTGGCTTCCACTTTGGCACTTGCAGTAAGTACAAAGCTGTAAGCGCAAGCACATGTGTGTGTGTGTATGTACATGTATAACCATATGTATGCATATGCCTGTAGAGGCGAGATAGAGAGACAAAGACAGAGACTAAGAAAGAAAGGAAGTAACGAAGACAGCCATTCTCGTCTATTTTTATCAGCTCGGTCACAGTTTTCAGCGAAGAGCAGCTGAGACTGCAGCCTTTCTCATCTGAGATGTACACGTTCCCCACTTGATTCTGCAGGCATGTCTAGAAAGCAGCGCTCGCAAACATGGTGCTCCGTGTCGTGCCATGTCTAGGAGATGCCTAGAACTTTGATTGCCGCAAACTCACACCCAAACCCTGAACCCTCGTGCCTCCTTTGCTCCATGGTTGACATGCAGCATCACGAGCCCCTCGGAAGTGTCCAAAACCTGAAGCGGAGCTGCAAGATGGATCTTGCGCATTCTTCGTCTTCATCTTACGTATCAACATCACTATAATTAATTGCATGTTGATGTCTTCTCTCTGAAGACCACGCAGCTTACTCTCGTCGGCTGGCTGCAGCGTGCAGGCTGAGACTACTTCTGCTCCGAAACTGTTCATGCTATGGTTGAACATGACTTGCATACATATGATTGTCATTTATATTCATATATATATATGTATATGTATCTACATATATATGTATATGGGGGCAGCACGCCGAGCTTATAGCGCATCATCAAAGTAAACGGGCATGTACAACGCAAATGTCAATTACTTCGCAACGGCACATTTGTATGCACACAGTAGGAGGAGTCCAAGTCGTCACGTTCTCTCCCACTTGAAAGACAAGTTGTTGTTCGAACGGCGACACGAACCCCCCCCCCCCCACTCTCTGCAAGCTGGAGAGAGTGGGTGTCTAAATTCTCTACCACCCGGCATCACCCGGCGAAGCACGTGGGAGCCAATGCTGTGACATGCCGCGGTGTTTGCTCTCCCGTTCTATTTCGTGCACACATACACTAATACTACGCGGGCAAGACACAGATGCAAACAAGCAAGCGCTTACTGAACCGCTGCGCGAAGACAAGAGCACGCTTACAAACTACCAACATAATACATGTACCGAGGCAGATGGAGATACAGGCAAACAGATGGCAAACAGTCTTACTTCTGAATTCTGATCTGCTTGCTTGTCCAGCGGCTGTGTACGACTTCTCGTCAATTTCGGTGGGCAACTGCAGATCGAACATCGGGAAAGCCAGAACGGACGAAGCGGTGAAGCTACTGCAGGTGATCTCAACAGCTATACAAAACAGTCCCTGTCACAAACGACAAGGGCGCAGTGTGACGTATTGTGACCGACGAGACACCCGCATCTAGAACTTGCAGCCTGCGCAGCGTTGAAGGAGCGACCGCCATCTGCCGAGACCATGAGATTCACAGTCTGGGTGGTTACGTCCTTCACCTTGGAAACCCCAAAGAAGAAAAGCGTTCAAAAGCGAAGGCGCCAAGATGAGGCCAAGATGAGACCTGGCATGCTCTTCTATGCCGGGTCTACCGCTTTGGCTACGAAGATGAACTTGTGGGACACCAGAAACCTGACGAAAGGCACAGCTATGCAGCATCCCAGGTTGGAGTTCACCAGCCGTCTGACCAAGGCCAGGGCTTATTTCCCATGGGAACCATAGTGGTGGACCTGTCTGAAAGCCCAAGAGCTTACAGTCTGCAGGAAAGTTTGTCGAGTAGAGTCCGAATTCCTTTGCTGCCACCGTGCCTTCTGCCATCGGCTTCCATATACGCGAAATCCACGTCGTTGGACTTGGCCGTACCCAGTGCACAGCAACAGGCACTCTTTGAGATTTTCACCTCATGAGCCCCGAGTGCTGCACCCATATGTACAGCTTGGGCTGGTCGCCGGTTTTCTTTCTAAAGTGCGTGAAGTAGATCCTGTCCTGCAAGGAGCATGCTTTGTCCCAGTACTGTATCATGAGCAACTGTCAGCTTTCTCACGTGAAACTGGCTTCGGGGTAGTTTCGAAGCAACTCTCCTAATGACCATGTTGTAGCTGGCCCTGCTGCAATGTGCTTCGTTCCAGTAGATAGTCAAAATATATCTCGCTGGCTTCCGGCACAAGCGAGCCTGTTGTCCCATGGACGGATCTCCCCAGCTGAATTGCACCACGTAATTCTGCCTGGCGCGCTGTAAACACTACGGAGAATGCACGCTGGTGAAAGGAAGTCCCCGAAACCCTAAACCCTAGCTCTACACACTAAACTCTTCGCCCTCAGTTTCCCAAGTACCCGAATTATCAAACACCAATTTCCTTTTGTTCGTGCATATTCACCAGAGGCCACTTCTCAAGACACTGACCAGCCGGCCGGCCCCAGAACCCGGAAGAATTATATTACATATTATATATTATATATTATATATTATATATTATATATTATATATTATATATTATATATTATATATTATATATTATATACTTTATATTATATATTATATATTAGATATTATATATAAGATATTATATATTATATGTTATATATTATATATTATATATTATATATTATATATGATATATTAT